GCATCTAACATGGATCTCAGAGATAACCAAAAAAAGACAAGCAACAATCTGCAGCACTGGGGGGGGGGGGGGGAGATCTGGAGCACCAAGCCTGATGGCAACAGGCGGCCGGCAAAAACACAGTGTGTATGCATGTGTGTGTGTTGATGTTTTGTAGTGGAAGGAGAAAGCTTTAAGACGGCACTGTGTTTCCAGCACGTGTGTGTGTGTTTGTGTGTTTGTGTGTGTGTGTGTATGTATGTGTGTACCCTGCAAGAACGATGTTAAAAAAGAGTTTACAGAGTTTTAAAAAGCACCTGAAGGTTGGTTGTATAAACGCAGAGTAAACATGATGGAAAAAAGGTTGAACCTGCTGGTTTATTGTTAGTTATTGTAAATGTGTGTGTGTGTGTGTTTGTTTTAGCATTGACTGCATGTGTCCAGTTGTCAGCTGGTATCTGAGGAAGTTGTCGCCTGAGGACTAAAAGCACCAGACTGAAGAGATGGTTTCTCTAAAAGACAGCCCTGTGTAAATAAAATATTGGTATTTTGGGACAAACTTTCAATATTCACTATATTCAGGAACATTTCCATTTTGCGCCCATTCACACACGCTGGAATAAAAGTGTCTGGATGTACGTGCACACGGTGGAAGACGTCTTTCATTATTTTCAGGAACATGGTGGGTGAGGAGAGGGGTATTTTAACATGAATTCACACATGACCCCATGTAGGAAATGTTCCTGAACATTATAGGGATAGCCTGCATGTGTACAAGAGTCTCTTGAAATATGAAGTTATCTTGACTTGTTTTCTCTTGTACCAAGTCCCAGATTGTGTCCCAACATTTGGGGAAAAGGCAGAAGAAACCCCCCAAAAGAGGTGGGGCATTCAAATCTGTGTGATGTGAGGAAGTATCCGTTATTTCATGACACAGGGCTGTCTGTTTCAGTCGTAGGAAGTAGAAATCCAGCATAGTGTCTACAGAGTGAAGGTCTGCCTCTGGTTTTAGTGAACGTCGCTGCGATAACAGGAGGACGGTTTGGATCCCTATGAAGCAAAGTAGGAGCGTAACTGCTAGAGAAGCTGATTAGTAACCATAAGGGTTCAGGTTTGATTCACTTCCTTTTCATTGAAATGCTTCTGTGAGCACAAGACTGGCAATTGGCCTCTGGAGGCAGAAACAATCTCATCTGGATTGATTCATTTAAGATGTTCGGGTCAGAAAACACCCACATGTTGTAGTACAAGTGGGAATAAACAAATTCTTAAAATACGACTAGTGTAAAGAATATGATCGCATATTACCCAAAGCATTTGCTAATCTTATTTACAATCACTGCCTAAAGTATTGCAAAACCGAATATAGTATAAGGTCTAAAATCTGACTTTATTCTTCCTCTATTTTTTTATTTGTTTGACAGCTAACACAACGGTATTTTTTTTAATCAGATTCATGAAATGTTTTTTCTGCCCACTGGAAGGCGCTGCAAACACTAAAGAGGCAGAAAGTTAGGGTTAGTAGTCAAGTATTTACTTGAGGAAACATGCACATTCACCAATTTGTGAATTTGTATTTCAAATTGCAGACATTTTTAATGATCTGTTCTCTAGTGCAGCTTTCCAAAAAGAAAAGAAAACTAATTAAATTCTAATTTAGTAGAAGTTACGTAAAAAAAGGCTTCTTACAAATCCTACTGTCCATAATTGCATTTTTCTTTCGGACTCTTTTTTGCCACATAAATATATCTTAAAATGTCAGCACACTTGCTTAGTGTTGCTCCCACCTGCTTGCAATAGATAGTTCATCTAAGTTAGGGAAGACAAACTGCAGCGACTGAAACAACCAGAGAGCATTCGGTCACCTCGAGCACCAACATCTTGTATTTAAAAGTGTATGAAAGCGGCACCATTTGAACTCTAACACTGCCTGACCAGCACCATGATTGTTAACTGATGTGTGTGTTTTCGTATATTTGTCAGCAGCAGTATCACTACGCATGGAAACAGTTACAGTTTGATTCTCTGATGTGTAGCTGTATTCAGAGAGAAGTCAGAAACAGAAAGTCAGGCGTCTTTGTCAGCGTTCAACTCCCCGGAGGTTTGACCTCACACAGTAAAGCCAGAAGAAGACACCAGTTTGAAGGTCGGAAGGGAAGAGTGTGTGTTAAGAAGACAGGACATTAAACCCTGCACCAGTTTTGTGTGTGTGTGTGTGTGTGTGTGTGTGTGTGTGTGTGTGTGTGTGTGTGTGTGTGTGTGTGTGTGTGTGTGTGTGTGTGTGTGTGTGTGTGTGTGTGTGTGTGTGTGTGTGTGTGTGTGTAGAATCAGAAAGGTAGCACCAGGGGACTAAGGTCAGCCAGTGGTCTACATGGGATCCAGGGAAGCAGTCCTTTATTGTGTATGTATGTATGTGTATGCGTGCGTGCGTGCGTGCGTGCGTTCGTGCGTGCGTGTGTGTAGTAGGCCTGTCACAATAATAACATTATTGACTATCGTATGATTTATGAACATGACGTGTTTATTAATTGCATAAATAAATAATGTCAACAACATTTCAGCTTACATGATGCCAGAATAACAGCAGGGTTTTGTGGTGTGAATTAATTCATCTTATATTTTATTAAGGATATATTAGAAGTCAACTAATTCCTTGAAATATTGTTTATAATAAAAAATGGTTACCTCTTTGGAACGGTGTAGTTGCATGTTATTATTCATTTATATTATTAGTATATCTGTGGCTTAAAATAGTCCTAAAATGACATTAATATGACATTATTTCTGGGACATTATATTATGTAGTTATTGTGGCAGGCCTGTATGTGAGTATGTTCGGTCATCTGTGTCATCCTGCGTCAGCCAACCCTCATGTACTAGCTGTATGCTGTGTGCTGTGTGCTGTATGTTATATGTGTGTGTGTGTGTGTGTGTGTGTGTGTGTGTGTGTGTGAGAGAGTTGGTGTGTGACTAGTTGCAGGCGAAGTACTCTTTGAGCGGGGCGAAGAGGTGCCGGATGACAGGGACGCTCCAGGACCGTCCCAGCAGCCTCTGACGCGCCAGACGACTCATGTTGGACACGTCGGTGTAGTGGACGGGGAAACCAAACACCCTGCACACACACACACACACACACACACACACACACACACACACACACACACACACACACACACACACACACACACACACACACACGATTTTAAATTAAAATGTTGCACGTTTCTAAACAATACTTCGCCTTCTAAAACGGCATAGCTCTCTCATTCTCATATTTTTCCCTTTTCTTTTCAATCTTTATTTATCCTTGTTTTCATGTATGCACCAATACACAACATTGAATTCCTTGCATGTGAAAACCTACTTGGAATAAAAACAAATTCTGATTGAATTGGATTTGAAACATATTTCGTTGTTGTAGATTGGATTACTTTTTGGTTTAAACTATTGGATGAAGAAACAAAAGACATTTGAAGACATCTTTTTGGGGAATAGGATATTGAGAAGGCCTTCTCCACTTTTTTCTGATATTTCAGAGTGCACTTTAGTCAAAATCTAATCTGGTTGTTTATAAAAACCAATATTCTTTGGTCAAAATATATGTTTGATTTGAAATAGTTTTTTCACTCAGAAACTCTCTAAATGTTGCACAAAAGTAATAGTTTACTACATTGACATTCAAACAATGCAGATCAGAAACACAGAGACATTTAACAAACACACACACACTGTACCTTTCCATCTCGGTGCACCACAGGATGTCCTCCTTGCTTTCCATGAAGACGGGGAAATGCTCGTCTTTCCCCTGCTTCACAGAGTTGGAGCGTGTCGTTATCGTACGCAACTTCTCAAACTGGAATTAGCATTCAGAACCAAACACACGCAAAAAACACAAACAGACACACACACAGCCTTTTTAATCCTACAGCTATCGTTGATTTGTAAAGCAGAGTTATTTGATGCGTTGTGATGTAAAAAATATAAAGTCAACATCTTGTTAGCGAGAAAACTGACTGACAATTCCTCATGCTGGAAGAGCAAGAAAAGATGAGACAGAATCCTTTAGAATGGACATCAATGGATTTCCTATTTTACAATTTCCATATAAACTCTTTGAATACTGCAGGCATACAAGTTCATTGTTTGACAACACTGTGTAGAGGCCCATTTCCACCCATGTGATGAATTAAAGATCTGTATGTAAAAGATACAGATGGATTTACTTTTCTGAATAAACTTGTTATTTTTAGATAGTATGTACTTAAAGGTGGGGTAGGTAAGAATGGAGAAACCAGCTCGAGTGCGCTAGAATTTGAAAATACACAACCGGAAAAAATATGCCCCTTCCTTCAGACTTCCTTACAGAGCCCCTCCTCCAACACACACGAACGTGCACATGACTAATCAGGGCATGAGATAAGTTTGTGCACAGATGGAAGGCTGACCAGTTATTTTAGCCGGGCCGGCTCAAATGATTGGTCGTGCTTTTTACAGCGCTACGGCTTCCACAGATGACATTTTTTTATATATTTATTGTCAAAGCATTTAATGTATTCATTGCTATCGGGATGTTAAGAGCATTCCATGGAATATAACAACAAGTGTTTCTGAAGTGAATTACCTACCCCACCTTTAATGTTGCAATACTGAGTTATTATTTTGTGATAGTAAGTCATCATAAGTTGTTATTATGATATACTGGATCTTTTTATTTTTCATTAGAAGGCTTAGTTTTCATATTGTTTTTTTCTTTAAGTGGTGGAAATGTGCGTCCAACCACCAACATGGGTGGTGGGCAAAAAGGTTCAAACTTTTTTCTTGTTATCAGTTTTTCTGCCGATCAAAAAGAAAGTAACATTCAATACCCAAACTGGTTAGGTACCATTCAATAAAAAGCACATACACACTTATACACATACACACACACACACACACACACACATTCGTAGAGGAGGCTAACCTTGGCTGTACGTCCGTGCTCGAGGCACTCCTGTAGGTCCAACCTGTCATTCGACATGGCTGACAGAGGTCTGTAGGGTGGTCAAAAGAAGGAGAACAAATTCAATTAAATTCTTTATTGTGGATAAACATTTAGTTTTTGAAGGGTGTTTCTCAATGACAGTAATAAGCACAATTAGACAACATAATAAACCAAAAAAAAAGCTTATTAGACGATACCAAAAAACAAATAAACCAAAAGAACAAAAAAAAATAAAAAGGACAATACATACAAAATCAGGAGCTCACACTCAAAGCACAGCATGAAAAATGTAATCATTAATAGATTATAGGATTTTTTTATCGACAGTTATAGCATTAAGTAATGTAACGTAAGTAACGTTCAAATTCAGCCTTTTAATATTCAAGAAAATGAAAAGTGTGTGTGTGTGTTTTCACCTGGACATGCCGGGCAGGTTTCCCCAGAAGTAGCGAGCGCGGTGGGCGGCAGAGACCTCCTTGGCATCGATCATCACCGGGTTACACTGGAGAGGAGAGGCAGGGTTACTTCCTGTTTCATTACATCTGTACTTATATGCATTTACTTTAAAGGTCCCCTATTATACTGGAAGACAGGAAGACACAAAATACTGGCTGCTAATGCTTTATTGAGTTAAACATGTATTGGTATTAAAGGTCCCCTATTATAGTGTTTTTCATCAATATATTATAGGTCTCAGATATATACGGAGCCTGTCTCTGTTTGGCTCCAAACACCAAACAGATCATTGCAGCATTACCCATAATCCCCTCTGTTTCAGCCCTGTTTCAGTGCTGATTCTCTGCCTGTTACTTTAGATGAAAATAAGGAGCCCCTCCCCACGCCCCTCTGAGAGAGATTTGGTTACAAAGAACTCAATGGTGCTCTAGGAGGAGATTCAGGTGATAAGGTGTGGGGGGGAGGTTNACATACCGTTCACATTGTGTACGGGAGCGTTCTCATGCCTGTGTGTTCTGGTTGTTAAACATATAAACAATGTCAACTGTTCGATCCAGCTTTTTCCATTTTCTAATGGAAAAAGCTGGATCGAACAGTTGACATTGTTTATATGTTTAACAACCAGAACACACAGGCATGAGAACGCTCCCGTACACAATGTGAACGGTATGTCTGTATTTGCAGGAAGAAACAGTTTAACAACTTCCTTGCTCTTTTAAATTATCTTCTACTTTACATACAAAATATTGTACTTATCACATACACATAGAAACAAACACAACCTCCTTTACTTGCTCCTGCTGGCCACTTATGGTGCATTTCCACTGCAGCGGGTAGCCCCGTTTAAGCGGCCTCAAGCGGCCAGGCCAGTTTTTGGTTGCCTTTCCATATAGCGTAGCACCGGCTAGCGGGTACTTTTTCCCTCTTTTTCCGGCCCCATAAAATCGTGGTTCTATCAGGCCAGGGCCAGGGCTAAACTAGTGACGTCAACACTCTCGACTGCTGATTGGTCAGAGAGAATCGTCACAAGATCGCGCGCGAGATCATCCCTAGCGTCACATATATATCTNCCCCCAGGTGCTGCATGTCAGTCAGTCAGTGTAATCTCTGAATCCATGTTAGATTAGGGAGTAATGATAATAATAATCATGGTAATAATAATTACAATAATAATCTGTTATCGTGTGTGTGTACTGTTCCAGCTTGGTGCTCAGTTCAGTCTCAGCCTAGAGGGGAAGGAGAGGCTCGAGAAAGCATATATTACAGTTAGTATAGTGACTTGTTCTATTGTACCCAAGGATGCCGAAAGACGTTGTCGAAGCAAACTCTCAAACAACAGCGGGTTGAAATGACACAGAATGGAGTTTTGTTGATGACAAAATATAGGAAAATACACAGAAATCCCAACATCTGGGGAAAATTGAAGTAAATACAAACTTTACCAACAGGATAGAAACATAACGTTTTTATTTGGAAAACATAAATATCATTGTAATAAGTTGAGTTTCCTGAAATAATAATATAAACATATACAAATGTGTAAGCAGACTTCAGCTCATTTTGTGTGATTTCAACACATCTGTTTAAGAATGCCGATGGATTAAAGCAAGAGGAATGGAGGCGATATTTCCAAGCGATGGGTGACTCGGTGATGGTGTTTCTGTTTGCCAGCTTTTGGGCTGAGTGATGCGCCGTTTTCAACACTGATACACTTACAAACATAAAACTCACAAAACACTGTTATTAACAAACACAAACGCAGAGATACACACACAACATGGACACACATACAAGGCTGTGGCGCATGCAGACACTCATCTCATGGACTTAAGGAAAGATGAGCTTTTAGGAAAAAGGAGGACATGGTGGTGTTTCAAAGGTGCTAAAATTTTATCTGAAAATAAGAAAAATATATTGTTAGGAGTATAAATCAAGTTTGTCTTTACAATAACTGTATTTAAGTTTGTCGTAGTAATGAAAAGGCACTATTATTATTCTACTCTTGTATGAATATGAACTAATTAAAAAAGGCATTTTAACTTTGTACTTGAACAATGTAAGAAATGAACCGTGAATAAAAAAAGGACTGTTTCTTGTGATTATGTGTTTTCTACCTTTCTGTCAATTAAGGGTTAGATTTCCATTTGATACTTTCAACATCAGTCCAAGTGTAAGCTATATTTGGAAAATATTTTCATCGTTTTATCTTTCCATCAGAATCAGAAACGAGTTTATTGCCAGGTAGGTTCACACATACGAGGAATTTGACTTGATGTCATGGTGTATGCATAAAATATAAAACAAAAACTCCATATAAAACAAATCTTTAAGGACACTGTAATAAAATATAGTTAGATACTGTAGCAATACAATAAAGCAGTAATTTACAGCGAAATAGAATGCAGTGAATTATAGAATATAAAATAAGAAACAAGTTATCTCTGCTCCTGTCTCAGCCACTCCATTTAATTTTAAATTGCATGACTACCTCTGTTGCTGGTCTACATCTCCCTTGATTAGTCATGCAGTTTGTGTTAAAGTGTGGGTTTTGTTACTTCAGATTCATCAAAATCACACAATAACACAAACAAACTAATCAATGTTTTTGAGCTAAAATTATTGTTTTTGTCAAATTAGTCTTTTGAAGAGGGAACAGATAACAGCTTGAGGGCTGTGTAACAGCAAGGTAAGTGTTACAATATTCTAAATATAGCATACAAATAAACTGATGTTCATTTATTTAGGTGACTATAATATGTTTTGCAGCCGCACCCCTTCCAAAGATGTATATTGCTTTTCACGTACCGGTACACCTGTCTGTTTTTCAAAATTTGAGGTTGATTATTTATCTTACTAGGTTTACAATTAAATAATTTAAAATAAGTAATCAAAATACTGTGTGTGAACCTATTATATTTTTCATCTGGTACATTGGTAGTCAATTATAAATCAGTTGATACCTGTAACAATCCTCTGTTCATGTTGCTTTTACCTTTTAATTGTAAATACCTTTAGTCATCGAGAATATACATGATTCGCTATATATACAATATATATCACACTAATAATAATAATACATGATACTTGTATAGTGCTTTTTTAGACACTCAAAGACGCTTTGACAGAGAATAAAAAACAACAGAAAAATACAAAAAGAGATAAACAAAACTGAAAATATGGGTAAACGCAGTATGTCCGACAGCATTTGAAGGCAGCATGAGTCTCAGAAGACAGGGACACGCCCCTGTCTTCTGAGCAGAGGAGACCCCTTCGGTAGAAAATTCTCGCTTCCTATTGGTCGGTTTTTCCGTTACTCAGGTAGAAGAGGCTCCTGATTGGCTAATGGCACTGAAGCATCTGCGGCTCGCGCTGTGCCAGCTGTCCTCGCTCACTCGGCTGGTGCTGGGCAACGGTGAGAAGCAAAGGCAGAGGAGGATCTGAGAATCTGAAGAACTAGGGTAAGAAGCCAAAGAATATGTAAAAATTATCCTGTCATGGACTATTTCTGTAAATACAGTAGTATTTGACAAGAATACAACATGATGTATCATCGATATTACAATTTAGACCCTTAAAATTATTGATAATGTCTCGTCTAACGGTAATAACTGCATGGTGCTAACGTTAATAACCGTTTATTTTGTGGTGTAGGTTAATATCAAGTGTTTTCAAATATTTTGTTCTTAATCTTATGAGTCATCCCTCCCTCTGCATGTGAATGGACATTAATTAATGCAAGCCAAGGCTTTTTTGAATGATATTTAAAATGACATTGTGTGTGTGTCAAGTCAAGTGATGCTAAATCAGGAGGAAAATGCACGAAGATTGGTCCTATGTCGTAAGCATCGTTACCTTTGGGCGAGGACATATGCGTGAGAGCGTGTGTGTGTGTATTTATGTGGCGTGCCATCAGTGCAGTATGTGTGTGTGTTAATCGTTATGTAAGTGTGATATTCGTTTACAGGCTTTTCTTTTTTATTCAGTCACGGTAGCGATCGATGATGAGAATCGTCATGCATACAAACGATGATGTGTGTGTGTGTGTGTGAACATAATGTGATTTGAACAGTTGATTTGATTTACTGTTTCACCACCTACTTTTGTATCACAGTTTTTTTTCTGCATGCTGGTTTTTCTGCAAGCCTGCTTTGGTTGGTGGATTTGAGCTTTTAAAATCATTTGGTTTAAGGATCCTCGAGGGTGCTTTAGGGGGCTCCAGGGGTCCACAGTGCAGCACAATGAATTGAATATATTAGAGACCATCTGAATCAGATGACGTAACCATGCTGTATTACATTAGGGTTGCATTTATTCAGCTGTTAAGTGTGTAAATGTTCCTCAGGAATGTGCAGCATTATTAAGCACAATACAAGACAAATGCTAACAAACCCACTCAAAACTGTTTGTAATGCCACCTCTGACTGAAAAGGTGTTTTTGTTGCTAGAGGAAACATTCTGGTCTGAGAAATGGCCAGAATATCCATTTAGATTATATAATCCTGATAGTAGAGGTGAAATGCTGCCCCTATTTATTTGGAGCGTGTGGCTAGGCATTACACATTGCACATTTTTAATAGATAGTAATAAAATAATAGTATTAGTTTATTCTGACATTGATATTTGTCCAGTTTATGGCACAGTCTGAAAGGTCAAAGGTCAGACAGAAGCTCTTTCACAACTCTTTCATTTTGTCAGACGGGGAGTGAACTGAGACCAAGATAGATGAATAAAAGATGATGCCTGTCTTTCCCAAAACTATTCAATTACAGTGTGACAAACGAGAGCATGGAGACTACACAGAGAAGGAGAGTGTGTGTGAGAGAGGCGGCCCTAATCCTCTGAGCTTTGGCCTACTTAGTTATGCGACCGCTGTTGTTTATTTTCTGTTTATCTGTGTGTGTGTGATTCACTAATGGCTTATTCATCCATGACCCCCCAGAAGCACACACACCTCTTCAAACCTCATCCTCCTGTGTGTCTGATGTCTATTCTTACCTGCAGTGTGTTGAGAAGTTGTCTGATTCTCATTTGTCCTGGATTTTTAAATAGCTCTACTGTTCACACACACACACACATACACATACACATACACATACACATACACATACACATACACAT